TTAACTACTCATTTCATACAAAAATATTTGACCTTTCATTGCTATTTCCTCTAAGTTAAATCTTTAATCATTTTTAAAAGTTTAATACAATGTACAAGATTGTAATGTACAAGAAATTATAATTTGTGAGTTTCCAATCATTTTCACCGGTGTGTGACCGAATAAATCTACAGCAGAAATGTCTGTCTTATTCAAGGTGCCAGTCAAACTTGCTAACCTTGATAAGTCATGGAATTTGAATCAAATGGAGACTTGTATAACCAACCTTTAGCGTCTCTCCTTGACCTTTCTACTAGTGACTTGCCCTCTTGCATTACTAAAGGTGTTTCACTACCCAGCTCTTTTAGAAAATAAACAAACAAATAAAATATAAATTACTCAAGATTGTTGCTGGAACCTGGTCATGTCACATAAAAAAATGCAGAAAAAATATTGATTAGAGCCTTACAGACTGAGGTCGAGAAAAATATATCACTACATACTCAACCTTGGTTAAAAACGAGAAATTCAATATACTGTCTACAACAATGGCGTAATCAATCTCTAAGGCTGGAAACACAATTCAATAGCACTGAAATGGCATATTTTCAAATGTTGTATGCCTGGATTTACAAATTATTGTAATTATTTCATGATTATACATGCATAGCTTATCTTGCTTCCAGTGCTGATATTGTCAACAAATTTTGAGTGGGACATCTTTCCTCGCTTGTTAATGTGTCTGTTTCAGCACAATTTCTCTCCACAAAAAACCCAGGCTCTTTAGGTTGTGGTAATGCCACAGTCTCGTTGCTTAACATGACAACAACTGATGCCATTGTTGGCCTGTCTTGTGGTAGTTTTTGAACACACAGTAAGCCTACCTGAATGCATCTAACCACTTCAGATTCAACAAAGAACAATAGCTCTGCAACATCATTTGCTAATTCAAATGCCCTGCCTTCTTTCCACAATAACCATACCTGAAATTTAAGTAGATGAAAATTAATTTCAATTATTTGAATAGAAATATTGGAAAATAGAGGGTGGAGGTCCTGATATATATGACTTACGTGACCTAAAAGATTATGATGATGTGTGGAATGATGAAATGTCCGATTCTTTCTGCCACTTACTATCTCTAGTAAAAGCACTCCAAAACTAAAGACGTCGGATTTCACTGAGAATTTTCCGTCAACAACGTATTCAGGTGACATATAGCCACTGCATTAACGTAAAATTAGGTTCCAAACATATACATCCAAATGTCAATTCTCTAAAGGGTTGTTAATATAGAACTTACTATGTTCCAACTACTCTCTTTGTTTTGCTTTCAGTTTGATCTCCACCAAAAGTTCTTGCAAGGCCAAAATCAGAAATTTTGGGGTTCAAGTCACTATCTAGCAAAATGTTGCTTGTCTTAAGATCTCGGTGAATAATTCTTAATCTAGAATCCTGGTGAAGGTAAAGAAGTCCTCTGGATATGCCCATAATAATTTCAAAGCGCTTCTGCCAAGTAAGTAATGTTTTTCTATCTTGATCTGCAATATATAAATTCAGCTCAACAGACAGTAACTAATATGCAGATTTATGAAAATTATCTTACTAGTCATCTGGTAGGAGAGTCAGAAGAAAATTGACCGAAAATGAAGTAATCCAAGCTTTTGTTGGGCATATACTCATAAATAAGCATCCTTTCATCTCCTTCAAGGCAACATCCCAAAAGCCTGACAAGATTCCGGTGTTGCAATCTGGCAATAAGAATTACTTCACTCTTAAACTCTTGAAGACCTTGTCCAGAATTTGTTGAAAGTCTCTTCACTGCAACTTCTTGCCCTGTTGGTAATGTACCCTGTACATTGTTCAAAGGTTCTGTCATGAGACCACTGCTCTCTTTCAACAGCATCAAAATCATTCAAAACGTACTTTCTTACCTTGTAAACGATTCCAAAACCGCCTTCGCCTATCATATTTGTTAATGAGAACTTCTTGGTTGCATTAGTAACTGTAGTCAGATCAAGCATTGGCAGCTCTATATCTTTCACATTGTAATCAGATGCTGTAAGAAATTAGTTAGTTGGATTATGATCAGATGAAAACTAGTAACTTATTGAGACTTGTAAAATTTGCATACCTCTTTTCGCTTTTCTCTTCTTGATGAGACAAAAGATCAAGAAGCTGACGATAAGCATTCCACAAACTAATGATATGACAAAGATCAGCACCAGTCTTGTCTTCTTATTATAATCTGAATATCAAGAGTAAAATTAATTAAATACATGAATGTACCTTAATAACTATATAATATAAGTACTGTTGTTCTCTTTAATTAACATCAAAGTGCAATACTACTAAGGACAATATTATGCTTGAATCAGTCTGTTTAACATACAAAAATATTTGTGTGTCCTAAGATGAATTAAACGAATACTCATAGTGTCCTGGCTGAAATTAAAGCGTCTGCATTCTAAGAAATCTTATAAAAAATTGAATTCGTTATACTTACGAAATTCTGCTGCTGCCATTCGTATGTAGATATATTGCTGTTTTTCTTGAGAATACTCTCGGATATCAATCAAATCCCCGAACCACATGAAACAGCCACTACCACCTTCACGAATATCTGAATTTGCATAAGCTACGCAAGAGCAGTTCTTCAAGCATCCTGCCTGACAATCTTGTGTTGTCATGCTTTTGTTTAGTGAAAACTGAAGGAGATCTGGCAATTGAACCTCTCCAAGCTTTAAAAATTTAATGCGATCTTGCTGGCAACCCAATGGAATTCTCCTCACACATCCACTGGACCAATTTAGTGCATCCCATTCGCTCTTCAATTTAGGAACAAATCCATATAAGCACTCACAATTTGGTTTATTTTTGAGTTTACAAATGCTATTAGCACCGCATAATCCATACTTATCACACTGATCGTACTGCGATGTATCTACAAGAGTCCATGAGGATTCCCCATTTTTCAGTAAGTAACGATGGACTAAACCTGATCTATTCACAGTAGTCCTGATGATAATTGAATTGTCAACAAGCTCATTCATATAGTATAATTCTTCATTATCATAAACAAAAATACTTTTGAAAACCTTGTTGCGCCAGCCAACGGAACCACTAAATGTTACTCCATTAAAAGGCCCTTTCCGGACTAATTTTTCTGATCCCTTGCGAAGAACAGACTGGGGCATCCCAATATTGTCCAGTTTGTATGTAATGTCTCCAGGAGACGGGTCATTTTCATCTTTCCATGATGTTAAATACCTGTTTACGCCAGTGCTCAAGTTCCATCCCAGTTTCATTCCTGGTAATAGTGTATCAGATGGGAAATCAAAGCTTTGCCATACATAGTTTTGTGTGTTATTGTCTTTTCCTCTGAGTACAAGGTTGCCGGATTCCAATAGCTGTGCAACTGTCCCTGGTTCACTTCTCGAAGAATTTGATGACCAGGCAATAAAGCCTGTTATATAATTTAGGAGAACAAGATCACCGTCTGGGCTGATTGTAAGAACTTCAGATGAATTCCCTATAGGATTTTCCCTGTTTGCAACCCACACAATGATATCTGGAAATTTCTTGTGCCATATTCCTATGTACCATTTGCTTGCAGAATCACTAGGCGAAAAGAAGCCCAATTCAAAGGTTTGGCCTGAGGATACCAGAGTCTTGCCGTAGGTAATGGTCTCGTTCAAGGGCAACGTATCAGTAGCACTGCAGAATCCAGAGAGTACAGGCAAGAGAAGAATGTGAAGGAATATGGAAGGAAAAATCTCCATTGGCAGGTAGCACAAGGTTTAGTGGTTGTATAATGTAGATTGTGTCATCGTGCAACCCTTTTGATAATGTTTCGAGGCATTTTCCTAATTGCATCAAAGTAGCCTTGTAAATAGTGCCCGCTACAGTAAAGTCACCTCTTGAAAATTGACATCAGCCTTTTTGACAAAATTACCAAAGACCTGGTGAACAGTGCTAATTTTCGCCAATAAATTGAAGCAGATTTCTGAAGTGAGAAATCCATTCTCAATGTCTTTTGAGTGATACAGAGAAGAGTAAAGAAACAAATAAAATTCTAGGGAGTTTTTCTTCTTAGTTTCTCTTATTACAAGAGATTAATTATTATTATCCCTCTGTATTTATACAGAGGTTGTTGCAATTTAGTGGAATATTTCTATACTTTTGCCTCAAATTTAATTGATGGTTTTCTTTTGAGAATTGAGACAAATTGTGATCCTTTTTTGGAGAGAAACGAACCAGACAAATATATAAAAAGGAGAAAAATTAAGGACTCTCAAAGTTTTCAATTATATGAAAAATTTATAAAATCATACAGAATTTTCACTCACCAAACCTCCAAATATGGTAGGAAAAATACCCTAAACCTCACCACGCTCACCAATTTCTACTGTTTGAACACTTTAATTAAACCAAGGAAATTGCCTAACCATTCATGGCCACTTTCCTCCAATTCAAAATGGAACTCCCGATTTTGCCAAGGAATCCCATTCCTTATACTTTATTTCCCTTTAAATTTGATTGCAAGATTTGGGTAGTTCTTTTTTTTTTTTTGGTAACTCTCCCATCAAACTTTACCTTGATAAAAAAAGAGTCAAAACTTTGCTATCTCTTGTGCTCCAAGTTTCAGTTGAACACGAGATGAGATAATTGGTAACTTTAAGGTTTTCCATACCGATAAGATAACGGTAAGGTAATAAAAAAAAGTATTATTGGCATTTTTTTTCTCCAAGCTACAGATTTGCAAATGGGATTATCACATTGATATGATGAATGATTGATATATTCGTTTAGAAGGCTTAGTCAGTCAAATAAATTTCTTTTGCTATATTGTCGTCGGCTTGTCGCAAGGGTATTATGGTAAAAGAACAAGTCAAGAGAAGGCTTGTGAAAGATCTGCTAGAAGAGTTATGCAAAATGGAATTGGTCAAAACATATGCTTTACTTCATGATATATGCCGCAAATAACTCATTCAACTCCGTTGACTTGCTGATTTCTTTTAAATAGTGATTTTTGGAGAATGTAGGAAATAATTTTGGATTTACTTGAAAAATATTTTATTACGTAAATGTGTGTGGTTGAAAATGAATATGAGAACTAAAGAATTTTATTGTAAATGGAGACCTAAATAAATATAATAATTGAGTAATGTTATTCATCCCCACTGGGGATGAAAATACAGTCTACGTGACGTCAATGTAACATTAAATGATATGTGAAATTAAATAAGTCATTTAATTTCACATTTTATTTAACCTATCATTTAAAGCCACATAAACTGTGTTTTCATCACCACTGAGAATGAATAACGTTACTCATAATAATTCATTGAATTTTTAATTCAATCAATACCTACTTAATTTATTCATTGTTACACTAGCCGCCTCTTAGTCAGCATATCATATTTAATCTATAAATCAAACGGTACGCTAAAAGGATATTTCTGCTTTAGACGACCTGGGTTGTGCCACGAGCTGGCATTTATGGTTAAACTTGCCGTCTATTGTCAATAAATTAAAATTAAGTACCCAAAAATGGACTCCATAAAATGTATGGTAAACTGTTGACGACAAGATATAGGTGGAAAATGTTTCAAGTTTCAATATTGTGGTATTATCTAATATTGATGTATAAAAGCAAGGTTCATTTCAAAAAATAATCTAAATCGTATCAATGGAGTCATTCCCTACCATCTTGATTCACATTCTTCTTTTGTCTTTACTTGTGGTATTCGGCAGTGCTGCTGACACTTTGACCTCAAATGCCAGCATCACTGGCAAGGAAACTTTGGTATCCTCGGGGCAAAGATTTGAATTTGGCTTCTTTACCCGCGGTAATTTGAGCAAACGGTACGTAGGAATATGGTACAAGAAATTCCCAGAAATCGTTGTCTGGGTAGCAAACAGGGAAAGCCCATTGATGAATTCATCTGGAGTTCTAACAATCACCCCCGATGGAGATCTTATTCTCCTAAATGGTATGAGAGGCGTTGTATGGTCATCCAATACTTCGGGAAGAGTTCAGGGGTCAGTTGCACAGCTATTGGAATCTGGGAATCTTGTTCTCAGAAGAAAGGATGATAATTCAGAAAGATATTTATGGCAAAGCTTTGATTTCCCATCTGATACGCTTTTACCAGGAATGAAAATGGGATGGAACTTGAGCACAGGAGTAAACAGGTATTTGACATCCTGGAAAGATGACGATGACCCCTCTCCTGGAGACGTCACTTTCAGAACAGACAATATTGGGATGCCTCAGCTAGTTCTTCGAAAAGGATCAGATAAAATTTACCGAACTGGGGTATGGAATGGAGTTCGATTTAGTGGCACAGGTCCCCTGTCAGTAAACCCGGTATTCATACCCATTTTTGTTTACAATAATGAAAACTTGTACTATATGTATGAATTCGGCGACCGTTCAATTATCAACAGGTTTATGGTAACTCAATCGGGTTTGGCCCAACGTCTTGTACTGCATGAAGGTGACTCCTCGTGGGACGTGTTTTACACATCACGAGATGATCAATGTGATGAATATGGAGTTTGTGGTGCTAATGGCATTTGCAAACTCGGCAACACGCCAATTTGCAAGTGCTTATATGGATATGTTCCTAAATTTCAGAGAGAATGGGATGTGCATGATTGGTCCAATGGTTGTGTAAGGAGAATTCCCTTGGATTGTCAGCAGGGAGGCTATTTAAAGGTAAGTAATGTGAAATTGCCCGATCTCCTTGAATATTCGCTAAACAAGAGCACAAGTGTCAGCGAATGTGAGTCAGAGTGCTTCAAGGACTGCTATTGCGTAGCCTATGCATATTCAGATATTCGTGGGAATGGTAGTGGCTGTTTCATGTGGTTTGGGAATCTGATTGATGCCCGGGAGATGCCTCAAACAAATAGTCAGCAAGATATCTATATACGGATGCCAGCTTCAGAACTCTGTACGTACCCATCACTTTAACTAATTCATCTTTGTTTACAGATTTCATAAAATACAGCCATTTTAGTTTCACCGGGAACTCAATCAAATTAATGAGTTAAATTTATCATGAGACAGAAAGTTTCGATGTTTTTTTATACCACTCACATGACGAAGAATAATAAATATCTCTTATCTAGGTATATTCATATGACAAATCTCATGATTAATTAACGTTTTGACATTCAGACAATAAGAAGAAGAAGAAGACAAGACGTGTGCTCATTTATGTCTTATCATCACTAGTTTCTGGAATTCTTATGCTCGGCTCCTTGATCTGGTGTTTTATCCGGAGGAGCAAAAAGAAAAGAGGTGTGCAAACTTGTCCTCTCGACAAATTATTTATTTTGCTGAACATAATCCACACTTGTTCTCTCATCAAGTCAAGTTCATATAAACCTTCAGCAGCAAATAAATTAATTGGTTTGCCACTGATCAGTATCCTGACTAATTTCTTACAGGATCAGCGACCAAGGAGATGGATATAGAGCTGCCAATTTTTGATCTAGTTACTATTACTACCGCAACTGAGAACTTCTCTTCAACAAATATGATTGGGGAAGGTGGTTTTGGAATCGTGTACAAGGTAAGGAAGGTTAATTTATAAATTATTCTGCTGTAGTGAAAAGTGAAAGCAGCATCATGACATATAGAACTTTATAACAATCTACAGGGCACATTATCGACTGGACAAGAAGTTGCGGTGAAGAGACTTTCAAAGAACTCTGGGCAAGGTCTTCAAGAGTTTAAGAATGAAGTAATTCTTATTGCCAAACTTCAACATCGAAATCTTGTCAGGCTTTTGGGATGTTGCCTTGAAGGGGATGAAAGGATGCTTATTTATGAGTATATGTCCAACGAAAGCTTGGACTATTTCATTTTCGGTCAATCCCCTTCTCTTGTTTTGCTTTAATGATGCAATACATATTCACAAGTCACAAAGTGCACTCTTTTAGTATGAAACTGATTTATTACTAGTAATAGTGGCTGTCAACTGAGGTGGATTAATAAGTTGCAGATCAACATAGAAAAGCATTACTTACATGGAAAAAGCGGTTGGAAATTGTTATGGGCATTTCAAGAGGACTTCTTTACCTTCACCAAGACTCTAGACTGAGAATTATTCACAGAGATCTTAAGGCGAGTAACATTTTGCTAGATAGTGACTTAAACGCCAAAATTTCTGATTTTGGCCTTGCAAGAAGTTTTGGTGGAGATCAAACTGAAAGCAATACAAAGCGAGTAGTTGGAACACAGTAAGTTCCATACCAACCAGACTTTAAAGCAAATGTATAATATCTAGAATCTAATATTTTGTTCATGCAGTGGTTATATGTCACCTGAATATGTTGTTGACGGGATATTCTCGGTGAAATCTGACGTCTTCAGTTTTGGAGTGCTGTTACTAGAGATACTAAGTGGCAAAAAGAATCGAACATTTCATCATCCTGAACATCATCACAATCTTTTAGGTCATGTAAGTCCTACAATGCAAGACCTCCATCCTCTCCTTATCCAATCTTCCTGTACAAATATTAACTTGCATCTGTTCATATTTCAGGCTTGGTTGTTGTGGAGAGAAGGCAGGGCATTGGAACTAGTTGATGATAAATCGTTCATCGAATCTGAAGCTCTAAGATGTATTCAAGTAGGTCTACTATGTGTACAAAAACTTTCAGAAGACAGGCCAACAATGCAATCAGTTGTTGTCATGGTGAGCAACGAAGGTGTGACGTTGCCACAACCTAAAGAGCCCGGTTTTTTCATAGAAAGGAGTTCCAATGAAACGGATACCTCAACAAGTGAGGGAAAATTCGTAACACATAATGGGGTGACAATGAGTGAGCTGGAAGCAAGATAAAGAAGGTGCATACATGTTGCCATGTGAATGAGTTGCTTACCAAGGAATAGTTACTAATTGAGTCGGGTCATCCTAGGTAGTATAGGATGATGAACTATACGTAGAAGCCTATTTAGAATTGGAATTCTATATTCAAGTACCTAAATAAGGCGTGTTTGAAAGTAATTCGTTGTAAAGGGTTGAATAAGAATAAAGATCTTTTCCTCCAAAATTTGCTCAAATCTCTGCTAGTGTTTGTCATTCCAAATGTAGAATTTATCATTTTTGTCCCTCAACCGGACAGAGCTGGAGAATCTTTTCTCTTTCATTGTCTTCTTGTTATGATATTTAAATTTTGCATTAGCATTCAAAATTCTCTCTATAGCTCTAGACAAGCTAAAACTAGTTTTGCTCTCTATTCCACCGTGTATAACCATAGTAGGTGTCATGTACATGGGATTTTCTCCCTCTGTCCCACAGTCGCGTTTTCAGCCATGATTTTTCAGTGTAAATTTTCCCATCTAAATCAGAAACTATTTAGTGTTAGCTCCATTGCTGTTCAAAAACTACCACAATCAGCCAACAATGACTTCACTTGTTGTCATGTTGGACAACAAGGCTTGCTTGTAATCATTTTAGACAGAGAGCTGAATGATAATAAAGTTCTAGTTCTTTCTAATTTCTATTACTGTGTTGTTATTCCAAGTTGTATGAAAGCTGGTGTCGTATCATCTTTGTTGCTCATTGCCTTCTTGCTCAGCATATAATAATTCTGAATTGGCATTTAGACTTGTCTCCACAGCTCCAGACAAGCTAACCTTGGGCCCATTTGGCTGGTTTTTTGAAAAGTGAAAAACTATTTCTGAGATTTAAAAGTTGTTGAATAATTTTCTGAAAATGTTTTGTCTAGCTAGAAGGGAAGGGCTTTCAAAGAAAAGTTAGCTCAAAGTGCTTCCTCATGAAACTTTTCTACAAAAAGAAGAACCAGAAGCTATTCCAAACAAGCGCTTATTAACTTTGTCACACCAGCGTCCACCAATAACAACTGTTGGTTTCACCAATAGATCAATTTCCTCCCTTTTTGATCCTTGCAATGATTTTTCCAATGTTATTTTTTCCTAATCTTGTACGTAGGGTTTTTGGAAGTATGTGTTTGCAGCTTCAGTCTTTTGTGATTGATGATCGATATAACTAAGGGTGGTGATCACATTATGGTGATTATTTCATCTTACTTGCCAAGGTTATGACTATATAAATACATAATGACTATGATTTGATCTTGGTAATTATGTTGTTTGGGATCATGTTTAAAGGTAATTTTCTGTTAATCTACGTTAGAAAATAACCACAAAATCTTTAAAGTTCAAATTTCCAAAAGTCATCTTGGAGATTGTGTAATACTTACTCTGAAACTCTTTTATGCAGTAGTGATTTTTTTTGTTTCTCTCTCCAACTTTAGATTCTTATCCAATGATCGAGGACAAAATCCTAGACGTGGAGAATAAAATCTAAAGGGTTTTTTCCTAGTCAAATTTTAAAGTAAGCAAACAGCAAATCCATGGGTATTTGAATCCGAGTATCCAAGAAAAAGCACAATATTAGATGGAAGATTGGAAATTCCTTTTGAACAAGTTGATGATAAAATTAATTTATCAAGTTGATAAAAAAATCCATGGGCGTTCCCATTTCTTATTAAGTTAACTAGTTGCCGTGCTATGTGAGAAGTTGTTTTGTTAAGTGTATTCACACTTTCTATGAAAATTAATTTAGACAAATTGGCCATCTAATGAGAGGCTATGCGATAATAAGATCTTGCTTAGGGAAGTCACATAATGCGCATCTTTCTTTTGCCCTTCTAGGCTATCATAAAATAAAGAAATGGTTAATATATTAAAGATGATTACGTATTTATAAAATACTTTCAAATTAGAGAGCGTGCACAAAACTTTTTAAAAACTTATAACAATCAATCAATGTTGCACAAAATGAGAGATGTTGTAATTTTTCTATGTATAATACTGATTGAGCTTTTAATTTACTATACTAATTGGACTGTATGTTAAAAATGTCTAGTTGATTATTCGTGATCATATTTGGAATATAGGGCTTTGTGCATTTAAGTCCACTTTCTTGATGAGATGAGTAAGTATAGGTTTTGTAGGTTTTCATTATGCCTAAAAAAAGAAGTTATACTTCACCAAGAGCAGTCTTTGGATCGTGCAAATATGCAGGGCATTTGCAGCAGCTTCGGGATGACAGAAGACTCTTAAAAAAATTATTGGTCAATTATAGGTTCGATCGAGAAGTAATCTTTGATATCGAAGCCTCGAACACTAATCGTGCTGACAAATATGAAACATTTGACTAATTGTGTAAAAGTTGTGGCATAAGGGATGTTTAATCTAAATGTTTAGACATGGAGGAGTGAATACACAACTTATCATCTTATAAAGAGCTCAAACTTCACTGCATGATGTTTATAGTATCAAAAATAAATTCAAAGTCCCACAAAGAACCAAGGCTATCCGATGAAGATGAGCTATAATTACTAAATAGAGAAGTTGATGGCAGAGAGTTGATGAAGACGGTGGTGGCAGTAACATAGGTGACAAACATGGAAATGAACTAACTAGGCCTCGTTAAAACTATGGTGGAAGGGAGCAGACGAGGTGGTGAAGACAGTGGTGGTAGTACGTAGGTGAGAAAGAGGATTATTTTTTTCTTTGCTCTAAAATTTTAGTATAGCATGGGTATCACCGGAAAAAAATAAGTCAAAAGTACTTGCTTGTAGAATTCTGAAAATCTTACTACGTACACTAATTTTGACATCATGACTAACATTTTTGTGAGTTGACAGTATTTTATACATTGATTTTAGTAACATTTTAAACAATTAATAGCACAAATTTTGACAACTCGTGTAATATTGATAATAATTTCATCTAAGAATGCACATCTAGATTAATTCTATTTTTTAAAGAATTAGTCAAACGTGCCCTTTACTTCAAGAAAACGACGTCTCGTTAAACTCATTTGACTTGTAATATCAAGTGCTCGAAGTTTTTTTTTTTTTAATTTCTTGAGCATTGACTTATAAAACTTGACAAAGTCTTCTTTCGTAATTGCTGTGGCTAAATATAAATACCAATAATATCTACAAAAATAAAACACGGAGCCAAAGGGTCTGCAAAAGCTAAATCATACAAGCCAATGAAGATTTTGCCTTCCCTATTCCTTCACTTTGTTTTCTTGTCTTTACTTTTGGAGTTCTGCAGTGCTCTCGATATTTTAACCTCAAATGCAACCATCACCAATGGCAAGACTCTGGTATCCTTAGGCCAAAGCTTTGAATTAGGCTTCTTTTCACCCAGTAATTCGAGTAAATGGTACGTAGGAATATGGTACAAGAAATTTCCAGAAGTCGTCGTGTGGGTTGCAAATAGGGAAAATCCATTAGGGAATTCATCTGGAGTTCTAACTATTAGCCCTGATGGAGATCTCGTTCTCCTGAATGCTACGACAGGTGTTGTATGGTCATCAAATTCTTCGAGAATTGAACCAGGGTCAGTTGCACAGCTATTAGAATGCGGCAACCTTGTTCTCAGAAGAAAGGATGACAATACAGAAAGGCATATATGGCAGAGCTTTGATTTCCCATCTGATACACTTTTACCAGGAATGAAAATGGGATGGAACTTGAGCACCGGTGCAAACAGGTATTTAACGTCATGGAAAGATGACAGTGACCCCTCTCCTGGAGACATCACTTACAGAATTGATCATCATGGAATGCCTCAATTTGTTCTTCGAAAGGGATCAAAAAAGATTTTCAGGACAGGGCCCTGGAATGGAATTCGATTTAGTGGTACCGGTGTCCCATCAAACATACTTTTCAAAGTAATTTTCGTTTACGATAATGAAGATCTGTACTATATGTATGAGGTCAGTCGTGATTCAATTATCACCAGGCTTGCAGTTAATCAATCAGGTTTACTTCAGCGTTTGGTACTTAACAAAGGGGATTCCTCTTGGACCACTATGTATTCTTCACAAAATGATCCATGCGATGAATATGGAGTTTGTGGTGCTAATGGAATTTGCAAAATCAGCAGTAGACCAATTTGTGAGTGTTTACATGGATTTGTTCCTAAATCTAAGAGAGAATGGGATGTCCTTCGTTGGTGGACTGGATGTGTGAGGAGAATTCCCTTGAATTGCCAGCAGGGAGATGGATTTATAAAGCTCAGAAGTGTTAAATTACCGGATCTTCTGCAGTTTTCTTTGAACAAAAGCTGGAGTCTAGAGGAATGTGAGGCAGAATGCTTGAAGAACTGCAATTGTATAGCGTATGCAAATTCAGATATTCGTAAAGGTAGTAGAGGCTGTTTTATGTGGTTCGGGGATCTGATTGATATTCGAGAATTTTATGAAGATAGTGAGCAAGATATCTATATACGAATGCCTGCTTCAGAACTTGGTAAGTACACTTCGTATTAACTAATTACTTTTCCGTTGTCAGATTGCTCTAATTTCTGCCAGGAACTCAGACAAATTTATCAGTAGTTCTATTTATCTTCGGACACAATTTAGTTGCTTTTGTATGGCGGACAGATGATCAAGCTAATATGGTAAACGACCATGATTAATTAACTCTTTGACATTCAGGACATAATAAAAAGACGAGAGTGGTGCTCATTACCGGGGTATCATCACTTTCTGGAATTCTAATCCTCTGCTTCATGATCTGGTGTCTTATCCAGAAGAGCAAAAGGAAAAGAGGTATGCAAACTTGTAGTATTACTTACTTTTATAGCAGAAAATTATACCATCTTTCAGCAGCAATTGAGTTAACTAGTTTGCCATTGATCATTATTCAACTCATTTTTTACAGCATCCGAGAACAATGGAAAAGATATAGAGCTGCCATTGTTTGATCTGAATATAATAAATACTGCAACTAAGAAGTTCTCTTCAACAAATATGATTGGAGAAGGTGGTTTTGGAATCGTGTATAAGGTAAGAAACACCAAGTTATGAATGATGATTTACCTGTAGGAAAAAATGTGATCACTGTCTATATGAAAGAGTCGTTAAACAATCTACAGGGTACGTTATCAACAGGGCAACAAGTAGCAGTGAAAAGACTTTCAAAGAATTCTGGACAAGGAATTCAAGAGTTTAAGAATGAAGTAATGCTCATTGCCAATCTTCAACATCGTAATCTTGTGAGGCTTTTGGGATGTTGCTTTGAAGGAGATGAAAGGATGCTTATTTACGAGTATATGCCCAACAAAAGTTTGGATTATTTCATATTCGGTCAATCTTCTTCTCTTACTCTCCTACGGATGACTAATAAGATAACTTTCATAGTTATAAAATAACAGTTACTGCCAACTAAGTTGTATTAATATGTTGCAGATCAGGATAGAAAAGCATTACTTACATGGCAGAAGCGCTTCGAAGTTGTTATGGGCATATCGAGAGGACTTCTTTACCTTCACCAGGATTCTAGATTAAGAATTATTCATAGAGATCTCAAAACCAGCAATATTTTGCTCGACTGTGATTTTAACCCCAAAATTTCTGACTTTGGCATCGCAAGAAGTTTCGATGAAGATCTAACAGAAATCAAGACCAAGCGAGTTATCGGAACATAGTGAGTTCTACTAGTTAATCAAGATTACTCTTTTGGGCAATGCAGATAAGATTATTTCTCAAAGCTAATGTTATGTTTATGCAGTGGCTATATGTCGCCTGAATACGCTGTTGATGGGAAATATTCAGTGAAATCAGATGTCTTCAGTTTTGGAGTGCTTTTGCTGGAAATAGTGAGTGGCAAAAAGAATCGATCATTTCATCATCCTGACCATCATCATAATCTTTTAGGCCATGTAAGTCATATAATGCAATCTTGTCCTATCTTTCTATTCAAATGATTTGACTTGCATATATTTCTTTTTCAGGCATGGTTGTTATTCAAAGAAGGCAAGGCATTGGAACTGGTCGACCACATTTCTTCTGAACTATCGTTCGTTGAATCTGAAGTTCTTAGATGTATTCATGTTGGTCTACTGTGTGTTCAAAAACTACCACAAGACAGACCAACAATGGCATCAGTTGTTGTCATGTTGAGCAAAGAGGAAGCATTGCCACAACCTAAAGAGCCTGGTTTTTTCGTGGAGAGAAGTTGCACTGAAACGGAAACGTCAACAATTGAAGAGAGAAGCATCAGTCAAAATGTAGTAACAATAACTGTGCTGGAAGCAAGATAATGAATGTGTACATGCTGCTATGTAAATAGCACTGTTATTGGAGCAAATCTTTATTTTAATTTTGAGAGTTCTGTACGCAGAAGCATAAAACAATAGATGAACATGCAATCGAAACCTTGTTGATTCCAATTAAATACAGGTACAGGATCAACTTCCAGTATATGTTGATTCTAAGAATATCAAAAATTAGGCATTGAAGTCTTATTGATTAACGCACGAATATTGTGAATTTGGACTTTTTGATTTAGAGTATAAAATACCAAGAATTAAATTTGGAAAATTCCAATAAATATTTTTATTTAATAAATAATCGACCTATCATAAAAGCCCTATTTATTGCTTAAATAGTAAAATCTAGAGAAAAAATCCTAATGACTAATTGATGCGGAACAATTAGAAGATAAAATCATAAATCGTTTGAAAAAGAGGAGAAATAAGAAAGATCTACGAAAACACGCATAACTTCTAGCGTGAATGTCATATTTACGCGAGCGAGTACAATCCAAAAGCCTTTTTCAATTCTCTACCATTTTGCTGGATGGCAATTGACCTTTGACCAACATCTTAAACCTTCCGGGATCAAATTTCATCGCTTAGGGTCCATTTTAGCATTTTTTTTGTTTTGAGTCAGTTTAAGGGGATTTTCGCCGTTGTGGCAATTTTTGAAGTTTTATTCAGATTTGTATACCAAATTAGTGTTTCGTTTTGATTGGAATTCATTTTAACTATATGTTAAGTGTTTGAAAACCCTATAAACATTTTTTGGATTAATAACTTTTCATTTTTTCATTTAATTGGTGGCTTCCAATGTTTCTCACATCCATTCGAGCGAAAGGTGAAAACAGATGCAAACAATTCCTCAACTTCTTATTCATCCACGACAATGCATCCAAAAAAAAAAGTCTCCATTGATTTTGACTATCAAGGTTAACCAACTTGACTGGCACCTTAAACAGTACAAAAAATATGATGTACATTTGCATGTAAGTTTTGACTTATTTACAAACTAAGTCAAACGTGTTTTTGATAGTGAAATCTGTGATTCTACTCCTATATTTTCACAAGTCCGCACACAGCTTTTGTTTACCAGTCACGACACAATTAATAAAATGTACTAACGCTAAAGATTTACCAGAACCTGCAAACAAGTCCAAAATCAACACCAAGAGGAAAAGAAAACAGAAGTGTGACGTGCCGCCCCGTATGACCACTTGTATTTACCAAAAACCCATCAGATTTCCTCAATATTTCAAGGAACAATAACTATGCCAATATATTAATTAGTGGGTCTGGTTCACCATCTAGTGAAGGACATAATGTGGAAGTTTCTTATGTGTCACGTGACCTTCGTTTGAATTAGAAAATCGGCCACAATAATAATAATAAATAACAACAAGACAAGATTTTTGTCTTAAGGCTGGGGCAGGTACGGGGAATATGATCCCCGCCCTGATATCGTCCCGTTTAAGGTCTATTTCAAAACATTCAAAAGGAACACGAGTTCTTCTACAAATTGGAAAAATAAGAATGATAATTGATAAGTAATGATTTTCACCAACTAAAGACGTGAAAAAACTAAATAAACAAGGCAGTAAACGGGACACAAAACATGTCTCGCACCGACTCCGTCCCAACTTGTCTTAATCGGGGTATATGATAGGATAAAGAGACAAAAATACTCGACACAATGAGGGACGTGATGGCTGCCATGATGCCTACCCGTCTCATTGCCATAGCTATATTAAATGCTATAATTTGCCAAAAATTACATAAATTATAACTGTTGGGAGTTTTTCTTTAAGCTTTAATTTAAAGACAACGTGGTGGTTTTTGTAGATAATCGTCACCAAAAATTCTGGGGCGGACAAGGCCATTGACGGTCCAGTTTACTCCTCAAGTACAACTAGATAACTTCAAAATAAAGAAGAAAAAGTACAAATAGGTCCCCAAATCTTGAAATTTGGACGCAACATCCTCAACCATTCATAAAGTGTATATAAGAAATGACCATATTTAAAAGTTCGACCTAGGCTAGGTAGGTTTTGCATAGAATCTTGAGCTAAGTACATGCTAAAGTTGTATCTCCCGATTCAGATTTGTGGCCATGAATTACACAATGTAGAATCTATTTTTGGTGGTTTCCAGGCAACTGAACTCTGTCGTCATAGTTGTTACATTACATTACACACGTCTCGTTGTATGTCCGTCCCATCCCTTTTCGAACCTGGTATCCTTTAAAGTTTAAAGAACATGCCCCCACATTTAACTTTGGCGTGTCCTTGATGCAAAGGATCACCCTATTCTTACTTTGTATCCACTCAAAATCTCTCTTTCTTATCCCCACGCAATCAAACTGTAGGCCGTTGTGTGGCCAATTCGGCAAAGAGGAGACTCCCTTTTTCTACACTTCCACAGTAACATTTATAGTGCGTCCGACTAATCAGAATTAAAAAATCACTTTTTTCGATCAGTGTAGTCACATATATTTCCTTCTATTTATTCTTGCGATAGTACAAGTCGAGCACGTGCTCAAGTGGTTTAAATTGATCCCCACAAGTTCGTCGATGGAGGATGAACTATCTGATTCTGAATTATTTAAACAATTTCTAAATTTTTAGTTTCTTACATATAATTTGATTGCATTTTGGACCAGTGTAGTTCGACTCTTATGATATTGATCGAAGAACATTCTTTCAATTACATTAATTAATCCATTGACCGTAATAGAATGAGATAGAAAGATATTCCAAAGAGTGAAAAAGATTATTGTTACATACAAAAATTATTATGGTTCAACTCGATGCCACATCAGTCTTGACAAGGATTCAATCGTGCTCTCACGTATCAAGAACAAATATTTTTATGTCTCGGTTGCAGAGGCCCGTCAAACTAAGAGAAAGCCTCGGCCACCGATGCTTCCCTGAACAAAGAAGTACGCATCTAAAATGACTAAAATACTCTCATAGTTCGCCTCTAAGTAGACCATTGCATAATGAAATCAGTATCCAAAATTCCTATTTAAAAATTTAAAGGTTGAAAGAACGTCGGAAGTTAAGTATCTTAAAACTAAAATAAAATAATATATATTTCCGATTGAGAAACAATGTCTGGCTTAAGAATACCAAAATATCAATCCCTCTCTTTCATATAAAAATTGGCTTCAAAACGCACAACAGTCCCCAAAAGAGGGAAAATTCTGTCAAATCTTGGAAAGAAAATTGTATCATTATCTTTAAAAAATATTATTCATATTTTTATCAACAATTAGGCCAAAATATTCCACGCCACTTTTATATGTAAAAAAATATGTGGTGGTGGATCCATATTTAAAAGCGGATATTTAATCCAGGATCTGATGCATATCACATGGGTCGATCCTTTTTATGGATCATACGCTGCCACGTGTGCACTTTGTGGGAGAATCTAACTTCCCTTCTGTGGTGCTGACACGTCAACAAGGACCTCAATAACAATTAATTTACTAATCCGCCCACAGAATTATATCATATCAATTACTTGGACTAGCTTTGCCCACACTGAGCTGTCTGCATTCTTTATTCACTAAGCTATGATGACTTGTTTTAGTCTCATTTTTGTCAAATCAAAAAAAAAAAAAAAAGTATTTTTAAATAGTGCATTGATGAGAAATGTGTGATTAAATTATTATAGAGTTTTGAAATAATAATTGTCAAATGGGGCATTAATTTCATTATTCATTTTATCTCGTAATTCATGACACGGTGAGTTGTATTAAAGTCCTGTTTGACAGTCATATTTTTCAAAAGAATAAGTTTTCAAAAAGTTAATTTTTGAAGAATGTGTAATTAAAAAATAGAAAAATATTTTGGGTTTACGAGAAAAATATTTTATTACGAGAATGAGTAGTTGAAAATGGGTACGAGGAAAAAAAATAGTTTTGAAAGAATGATTTATAAACAGTGGCTAATTTTAAATATTGGTGAGAATTTCACTGTTAGTCCTCAAACTATTGTTCGAATAGTAAGTTGATTCCAACTTTCAAGTAACACAAGTTAGTCATCAGCTTTTATTATGTATGTTGTGAAAATCAATCTCCATTAAACCGTTACCCAACTTTAGTATCATTTCCCAACTTGACTTGATACCCAAAAACTGAATATTTAAATATTTGCACAATGATCTGAAAACAATTTAGTATATGTCCAGTATAGCTTTTTATAAATTGATAAATTTTGCGAATCTCATTAAACATGTAAATAAAAAATAATGTTTGATCAACTCATAAATTATAAAAAGCACTTTCATATATACTCTTATCCCCTATTTGGTGAAAATTAAATTCTAAATTTTAATTAAGTCAAAATTAACAATTAATTTTAAGCACATATTTTGTAGAGTTCACAACTTTTCAACCGTATATTTCATTAACTTTTATCAAAATTTGCTAAAAATATTATTTTAATATCCACGGCTTAGATAGTTTTAATTATTGAACATTGATTATGTCAACACAAACTTACTTTGAAAAACGTTTAAAACTAAACTCTTGTTTGATGATCATTATTTCAAAACTTTTTCTTCTACGTACTTATTTTCAATCGCACATTCATACGATAAAATATTCTGCACATAGATCTAAATTTTTTTCTACTTTTTAATCACACATTTTTCAAAAAATAAGCCCTCGTTTGGTACACATTTTGAAGGTAAGAATGCATTTTTACCGTTGATATAATGGGGAATATGTGGTTGAAAAAGAAGGAAAAATTATTGATGTGGTGGAAAATATTATTTTATTGAAGAATGTGTGGTTGAAAATGAGTAGAAGAATGAGAATGAAAAAAATAATGTGAACCAAACAGGTCCTAAGTGTTGGAATGAAAACTGGAAAATAAATCAACTT